TGGCCGCCATTCAGGAAATGAACACGTGGCAGCGGCCATTTTAAACTCCCGAACAGCGGTGTTTTGCCGTCGAGTGTCTGGAACTCAAAACGGACGCTCGACTAGGCGAACACCGCTGAAACCTCCATCAGCCCGGTCCGTTCGGTTCCAAACTACCGAACGGCCCCTCGTTCGGTAGGCATAATCAACCGAACGAGGGGATTCAGGCGAACCCTCCCCAGCCTCTGTAGCTTGAGGCTTTCGGGTACTTTATTCGCCTTTTCCAGGACCATCGCATGGAGCCCATTTCGGCTAGTTCTTCCAGTGCGGTCGGTCATTTTATTCCCTCCATGAAATTCCCGAACCCCTGGTCTGATCTGGGTGATTTTTGGATATGTTGTTCACCCAGATCAGAGCTACCAGGGGATGCATAATTTAAAGTGGTACCCCTAGGTTTAGGGGTACATCCAAAAACGGGGGGAATTGCTGTACTGGATAAGGGGATTATGATGCTGGCTGAGGGGAGGAGATGTGTGGGAGGTTACCAGGACAGGATTGGCTATTGTGATAATGAATGTAATCCCTCCCTTGCATGGGAGCATGCTTTAAAAGGCCACTGTGGAATAAAGCTTGCAGTTCTGCTCCTGATACTGTGTGTCGTCCAGTTATTGGGAGTGCTGTTGGGATACCATTGGATTATTTTACCTGCTGGATACTTTGCCTATGGATTTGTAACTGCTGTTCCTGTGCCTCACTGGGATCTACAAGTGGAGGTAGGCTATGCAATACTAGCTCTCTGCTACAGTAATTGGGCATGCCCTCCGTGCCAGGAAAGGCGGCCAGGGGTTGGCATGGGGAATTGGAAGGCCAAGGTGAAGGCCAGTTATCTTGGACAAGGGGGAGGGCAGGTGCCCTGGAAGGGGGTACTCTAGAGTTGTTATGGTTCGGTTGGCAAGGACGAGTTTGAGTTACATCATGCTCATATTAAAAGGATAGTTAGAATTGGTTTACATATAATATGCTTGTTATCTATAAATAAAGCTGTGGCCTGTTTATACCACATTTATGTTTCTTGGTCTTAATTGGTGGACGAGTGGGGAGCGGGTTGGTGGGCATAATGGGTCGCACCACATAATAACCACTACCTGCACACAAGGGAGTATTATGATTGATAAATTAAAATGATGTAAAAGTGGATATGAGAAAGTGAAGGAAGGGCAAGAACATGGAGAGAGGAATGTAGATTCTTAGTCATTTACTCGTTTTTGGAGGCAGTGAAAAGAGGTTTCACCCAGTGGAAAAGGAGAGAAATTTAGTCATCTCAATTGCAGCATGTTGTATCAGAGGAAACTTTTCTCTTTTTGTGATTGGGGAGAAGAAAAATACACAAAGGATGTGGGGTTTGCTCTGCAAACATTCCATTGTCGTTCTTACAGGTTTTTAAAATGCATACTCAGTCAAGATATTAAAGGACCACTCTAGGCACCCTGTCTCATTGACAGCCACTAGAGGCGCTTGCGTGCTTCTCACTGTGATTTTCACAGTGAGAGCACGCCAGCGTCCATAGGAAAGCATTATGAATGCTTTCCTATGTGACCGGCTGAACGAGTATGTTTTCCTGGCACAATAGTGGTCCTTTAATGTGTGCACAGGTAATTATTTCCAAATTACATTCAAGTAATTGCATGAAAAGTAAACAACACTCAGAACAAGTTTTATCTTTGTAATAACAGAAACATAGAAACATAGAATGTGACGGCAGATAAGAACCATTCGGCCCATCTAGTCTGCCCAATTTTCTAAAAACTTTCATTAGTCCCTAGCCTTATCTTATAGTTAGGATAGCCTTATGCCTATCCCATGCATGCTTAAACTCCTTTACTGTGTTAACCTCTACCACTTCAGCTGGAAGGCTATTCCATGCATCCACTACCCTCTCAGTAAAGTAATACTTCCTGATATTATTTTTAAACCTTTGTCCCTCTAATTTAAGACTATGTCCTCTTGTTGTGGTAGTTTTTCTTCTTTTAAATATAGTCTCCTCCTTTACTGTGTTGATTCCCTTATATATTTAAATGTTTCTATCATATCCCCCCTGTCTCGTCTTTCCTCCAAGCTATGCATGTTAAGATCCTTTAACCTTTCCTGGTAAGTTTTATCCCGCAATCCATGAACCAGTTTAGTAGCCCTTCTCTGAACCCTCTCTAAGGTATCAATATCCTTCTGAAGATACGTCTCCAGTACTGTGTACAATACTCCAAGTGAGGTCTCACCAGTGTTCTGTATAATGGCATGAGCACTTCCTCTTTCTACTGCTAATACCTCTCCCTATACAACCAAGCATTCTGCTAGCATTTCCTGCTGCTCTATTACATTGTCTGCCTACCTTTAAGTCATCAGAAATAATCACCCCCTAAATCCCTTTCCTCATATGTTGAGGTTAGGACTCTATCAAATATTCTGTACTCTGCCCTTGGGTTTTTACGTCCAAGATGCATTATCTTGCACTTATCCACATTAAATGTCAGCTGCCACAATTCTGACCATTTTTCTAGTTTACCTAAATCATTTGTCATTTGGCTTATCCCTCCTGAACATCAACCCTGTTACATATCTTAGTATCATCAGCA